TCGGTGCCTTGCTCAAGGGCACCTCAGTCGTGGTACTGAAGGTGGGAGAGAGCGCTGTACATTCACTCCCCCCACCTACAATTCCTGATCCGCCTATGGCTGTATTATTTCCAACATGTTATGCCCCTGTTACCACATCTTATGCCATATTTTCATACCCAAAGTATCCTCAAACAAGCTCTCAATCATTCAATGCTTTTACCAAAGTACTTTTAAGAGAATCTTTAACCTAGGGTTCATTACATAGGCCTACATATTTTTAATTCAATTAATTTATTTAAATGATTCAATTGTGTTTTTATGCTACATTTTTTAAACATAAATTGAAAATGTCAAACAATAAACGAGCACATAGAATGGGCTTAAAATCAATACTTTTATAGCCGACCTGTTTGACTCCTCAACATAGTTGCCAAGTCCGCGAATAATACGCGACTTTGGGCTTCTTTTTTTGTAAAGTTGCGTGAGAAAAAAATCCCAGGTCGCGTGTTGCGGTTTTTTGGGCTTATTTAAAAAAAATATGGTTGCTTGTTAGGGAAATCTGATAAGCAACTTCGTTTCTTTATTGATGTTCGCCATATTCTCCAATGCATTGAACGACACTCTGTCTGCTCGCAGTTAATAGCCAACCAGTGCAATAATATAAGTGCTGCTGCTGCAGCGTAATTTGCCAAATATTATTAGAGAAAATCAGTTGTGATGACTTTCTTTTAACCTATTTTTTAATTTTTGCAATGTTTTTGTAATGTGTTAATTATCACGGGCTGTAATAAAAAAACAAGTAGTCCTATACTAATACTAAGAGTAAATATGGTTCGAATAGCCTATATTTTAATAGGCTATAAATATGTGGCTATGTTACAGCTCCTCTTTGAAGCTCTTGTGTTTTTCTCCTTTTCCATCTCTCCAATCATACTCTGCACACAGGTGATTGGAGATGAATTTTGTTCCCATTTTTGTTGCAGTTTGCTGATTTTTGTAAAATAGCTTCTGTTTTTGCTTTTCAGATAAAAGAGTGGCTTCAGTTTAATATGTTGCAGGCTCGTTTATTGGTAATAAATAATTGATAATAAATCATAAAAAAAGGGCTTGTTTTTGAAGCAGCGGTTCGCAACAGAAATGATGGCAATTCTAACGGCTTTGCAGTGGGTGGAAGACATCAATCCTATAAGTGTAGTAGTTTGCTCAGATTCATATTCGGTATTAAACAGCTTAAATAGTGGGAAATCAGCATCTAGGCAGGATATACTTTATGAAATTTTACAGAATTTATATAGAGTAAACCAAACAGGAGTAAGAGTTTTTATGGATACCTGCCCATGTAGGTGTAGAAGGGAACGAGGAGGTGGATAAACTGGCCAAGTCGGCATTGAGAAAAGAAGAGATTGACAGAGAAATGCCTTTAAGTAAAACAGAAGTAAAAGCTATTATTAAAACAGCAGTTGGAAGTATGTGGCAAGATGTATGGAATAAAGAGTCAAAAGGGAGACACTTATTTAGCATTCAACCGAAAGTGGGGATTGAAAGAAAGGTATATGGAAACAGAAGAGAAGATACTGTTATAACCAGGATCCGTACAGGACACTCTAACCTTAATTATTCATTGTATATAATAGGAAAGCGTGTGTCAGATAACTGCAGTTACTGTGGAATAACAGAAACAGTTGAACATTACATTGTGAGGCATATAATAGACAAAGAAAGAAACTAAGAGATATGGAAAACAATGACTAATATAAGTGCTGCTGCTGCAGCGTAATTTGCCAAATATTATTAGAGAAAATCAGTTGTGATGACTTTCTTTTAGCCTATTTTTTAATTTTTGCAATGTTTTTGTAATGTGTTAATTATCACGGGCTGTAATAAAAAAACAAGTAGTCCTATACTGATACTAAGAGTAAATATGGTTCGAATAGCCTATATTTTAATAGGCTATAAATATGTGGCTATGTTACAGCTCCTCTTTGAAGCTCTTGTGTTTTTCTCCTTTTCCATCTCTCCAATCATACTCTGCACACAGGTGATTGGAGATGAATTTTGTTCCCATTTTTGTTGCAGTTTGCTGATTTTTGTAAAATAGCTTCTGTTTTTGCTTTTCAGATAAAAGAGTGGCTTCAGTTTAATATGTTGCAGGCTCGTTTATTGGTAATAAATAATTGATAATAAATCATAAAAAAAGGGCTTGTTTTTGAAGCAGCGGTTCGCAACAGAAATGATGGCAATTCTAACGGCTTTGCAGTGGGTGGAAGACATCAATCCTATAAGTGTAGTAGTTTGCTCAGATTCATATTCGGTATTAAACAGCTTAAATAGTGGGAAATCAGCATCTAGGCAGGATATACTTTATGAAATTTTACAGAATTTATATAGAGTAAACCAAACAGGAGTAAGAGTTTTTATGGATACCTGCCCATGTAGGTGTAGAAGGGAACGAGGAGGTGGATAAACTGGCCAAGTCGGCATTGAGAAAAGAAGAGATTGACAGAGAAATGCCTTTAAGTAAAACAGAAGTAAAAGCTATTATTAAAACAGCAGTTGGAAGTATGTGGCAAGATGTATGGAATAAAGAGTCAAAAGGGAGACACTTATTTAGCATTCAACCGAAAGTGGGGATTGAAAGAAAGGTATATGGAAACAGAAGAGAAGATACTGTTATAACCAGGATCCGTACAGGACACTCTAACCTTAATTATTCATTGTATATAATAGGAAAGCGTGTGTCAGATAACTGCAGTTACTGTGGAATAACAGAAACAGTTGAACATTACATTGTGAGGCATATAATAGACAAAGAAAGAAACTAAGAGATATGGAAAACAATGACATATATTTCAGAATGCACAGAAACATCTAAGGGTTTATGATTTTCTTCTAAAATAGCTGAGAGATACAGAGTTGATTAGAATAATAATAATTATTATATATATTTTTTTTGTTTTTAATTAGTAGTATGTAATACTGTATATTCGTTCATCGAGGCCTCACACTCCATGCCAGTAGGTGGCGGAAATGCACCGTAAGCTGGTTTGCCAACCGCCATTAAACACAAAAGAAGAAGAAGCAGCAGCGGTTGCTTATTTGTCTTGTGAGAGTTGGCAACAGTGCTCCTCAGCTGTAGATGTCGCTGTGTGTAAAGGCAATAGGGGGATATACTGCCGAGGAAACAACAAAAGATTATAAACGGATTTTATAAATCGTTGTATTCTGTTTCCAACTTTCCAGCCGTAATCTGACGCGTATCGTTGCTGAAAAGGTGAGTCTATGATTTGTAGGTCTTGTTAAATTGAATCCGCGAACATATAACGCAACAGCAGAAAGCCTCTGAAAACACGTTCATCCATTTTTCTTTGTTTGTACTTTGCGTTTGATACGATTTTAGTAGAGATGTAACGATTCACTCAACTCACGATTCACGATTATTTTAAACAAAACGAGATTTAAGACAAATTATAAATTAAATGTGTCCTTTTATTATTAAATGCTGCACATTTCTTTGTCAAATTGAAATATAACACTATAATAATATACTAATACAGCACTTGCATATTACTGCTCTTTTGTTGGTTTTGATTGCTTCTATTGTCCTCATTTGTAAATCGCTTTGGATAAAAGCGTCTGCTAAATTACAGCATTTAAATAAAATGTAAATAACAAAACTACATTGACATTTTAAAACAAGCCCCAAATTAAATAAGTAAATAACACAAAATAAATATCTTCATATAAACAAAATAAGGCTTTGTGCTCTTTCCTGAGTCATGATCCAAACAAAGATGCTGCATACATGCAACATGAGCCGTTTTTAAATCTGAATTAGATTGTATAGTTTCTAAATTTGAAGCAAAAACAGAATGGTTTGACTTCAGTTTTGTGAAACTATAAATACAAAATATCTGCATGAAACAGCAAAGCTGAATGAGACGCAGATTCACTTTAAACTAAACAAAGCAGCGCTGCACTTATTAACTTTAATATGCATTATACAGAGGCAAGATGAAAAGAAGAAATACCATCTAAACTTTTCTAAAGACAGTACGTTCCCCTCAGACATGCATTCATACAAACAAACTCCTGCCCCTAATAGAATCGCGATTTGTTTAGCATCTCAACCGATTTGAATCGATACATATTTAAATCGTTAATAGTTAATCGTTACATCCCTAAATTTTAGATAACGATTATTAGACAAGCGTTATTTGTATGTAAGAGTGGTTGTCTTGGGTTTCGGTATCTACAGGAGTGGCGTCAAGCAAATCAATTCAAATATAAATTTGCAGCATTATTTTGGATTTTTGTGTTGTCCCTATTTGTATTGTGTAATCCTCTGTACTGCACGAATGTAAAGTTCAAAGATTTTACACAGACTTTTAGACATTGTGTTGGCCTAAAATAGAATAGGAATAGGAAGTTCGGGAGGGGGAAAAAACATTTTCCTAAACTTAGGGATGGGCGTATCGATCCGAAGTATCGATATATCGATACTGATGCGAGTATCGAAAGTATCGATACTCAAACAATAAATATCGATACTAAGGTGTGTTTTATTTACCAGTGATTTTGTTTATTTAACAAAAAAATAAGGCATTTAATTGGACGAATAACCTATGTTAGTAAATCATTGTGTAGGATAGAACTATGTTCCTGCTCATCTGAACATCTGAGCAAATGTTGCAAGACAGAACCAATCCATCACAGAGAGCGTTCACTCACTTCTAAAAGTGCATTCAAACAGGGCTGCGTTTCCCAAAAGTATCATAAGAAAGCATTAAAGCTTTTGGGGATGTAACGATTCACTCAACTCACGATTCACGATTATTTTAAACAAAACGAGATTTAAGACAAATTATAAATTAAATGTGTCCTTTTATTATTAAATGCTGCACATTTCTTTGTCAAATTGAAATATAACACTATAATAATATACTAATACAGCACTTGCATATTACTGCTCTTTTGTTGGTTTTGATTGCTTCTATTGTCCTCATTTGTAAATCGCTTTGGATAAAAGCGTCTGCTAAATTACAGCATTTAAATAAAATGTAAATAACAAAACTACATTGACATTTTAAAACAAGCCCCAAATTAAATAAGTAAATAACACAAAATAAATATCTTCATATAAACAAAATAAGGCTTTGTGCTCTTTCCTGAGTCATGATCCAAACAAAGATGCTGCATACATGCAACATGAGCCGTTTTTAAATCTGAATTAGATTGTATAGTTTCTAAATTTGAAGCAAAAACAGAATGGTTTGACTTCAGTTTTGTGAAACTATAAATACAAAATATCTGCATGAAACAGCAAAGCTGAATGAGACGCAGATTCACTTTAAACTAAACAAAGCAGCGCTGCACTTATTAACTTTAATATGCATTATACAGAGGCAAGATGAAAAGAAGAAATACCATCTAAACTTTTCTAAAGACAGTACGTTCCCCTCAGACATGCATTCATACAAACAAACTCCTGCCCCTAATAGAATCGCGATTTGTTTAGCATCTCAACCGATTTGAATCGATACATATTTAAATCGTTAATAGTTAATCGTTACATCCCTAAATTTTAGATAACGATTATTAGACAAGCGTTATTTGTATGTAAGAGTGGTTGTCTTGGGTTTCGGTATCTACAGGAGTGGCGTCAAGCAAATCAATTCAAATATAAATTTGCAGCATTATTTTGGATTTTTGTGTTGTCCCTATTTGTATTGTGTAATCCTCTGTACTGCACGAATGTAAAGTTCAAAGATTTTACACAGACTTTTAGACATTGTGTTGGCCTAAAATAGAATAGGAATAGGAAGTTCGGGAGGGGGAAAAAACATTTTCCTAAACTTAGGGATGGGCGTATCGATCCGAAGTATCGATATATCGATACTGATGCGAGTATCGAAAGTATCGATACTCAAACAATAAATATCGATACTAAGGTGTGTTTTATTTACCAGTGATTTTGTTTATTTAACAAAAAAATAAGGCATTTAATTGGACGAATAACCTATGTTAGTAAATCATTGTGTAGGATAGAACTATGTTCCTGCTCATCTGAACATCTGAGCAAATGTTGCAAGACAGAACCAATCCATCACAGAGAGCGTTCACTCACTTCTAAAAGTGCATTCAAACAGGGCTGCGTTTCCCAAAAGTATCATAAGAAAGCATTAAAGCTTTTGGGAACAATGCTTATCAGAGGACAGAAGGAAAAAAAACATATATGTTTGAGCAATTACATTTATTGAAAATGAACGTTGAAAGATAATATTGATCATTTTCTATTCGCTAATGTTAATATAAATCATACACTGTCAAAAAAGGTTGCATTTTATGCATGCAACAGCCTGTCGCTGGCAGTCCCTTATGAAAATGAACCATGGTTTTACTAAAGTGACCGTAGTTCAACTGTAGGATTTATAGATTTGAATCACGTGTAAACAAAAAAACGTATTTGAACCATGTGTAAACAAAAAGATAACCTAATAAGTTACAATTAAGGCGTATTGAAATGTTAAAATGTGTTTTAAACAAAGTTAAGTGGTTATCATTACCCATTTTACTCTTAGTAATTTAATACATTTCATAATTTAAAAGTTTAGTTCAGAAGTATCGTATCGGTATCGACGATACTGCCTTGAAAAAATATCGGTATCGTATCGAAAACTAAATAAGTGGAATCGCCCATCCCTAAAACTTACTTATGGAAGCCCGTTTCCGCCACTGAATAAAAAAATAAAAGAGGTAATTGCGACTTTTTTTTCTCAGAATTGCGTGATACAAACTCGCAATTGCGCGTTAAAAAGTCATAATTGCGTGATATAAACTCGCTATTGCGAGACATAAAGTTGCACAACATTGAATTTTTCACAATTCTGACTTTTTTCTCGCAATTCTGACTATATCTCGCAATTCTGAGAAAAAAAGTCAGAATTGCGAGTTTTTATCTCGCAATTGTGACTATATCTCGCAATTCTGAGAAAAAAAGTCAGAATTGCGAGTTTTTATCTCGCAATTGTGACTATATCTCGCAATTCTGAGAAAAAAAGTCAGAATTGCGAGTTTTTATCTCGCAATTGTGACTATATCTCGCAATTCTGAGAAAAAAAGTCAGAATTGCGAGTTTTTATCTCGCAATTGTGACTATATCTCGCAATTCTGAGAAAAAAAGTCAGAATTCTGACTTTATAACTCGCAATTGCGAGTATATGTCTCACAATTCTGTGAAAAAAAAGTAAATTTTCAGTGGCGGAAATTGGCTTCCATACTTACTGCTATTCTTCCACTTAATATTTTTGACCAACGCAATTTTTTATACAATAAACGAGCAACAATAAAGTCTATGGAAAAAAATATATAATTAAAGCAGAAATGTTTTATATAATAAATTAATCCAATCAAAAACATAATTGGTTTAAATTGGCAGTGCCAAAATGAACAAATGTTTTATTTTAATTGTTGCTGTACAATATATGCAACTATACATGTCATTACAGGCTGAATTCAGTTTACAGCAACATATCTAAAGAAACAAAAACGCATACATTGAAATAAAACATTTGAATTATTATTTTTGAATCAGTATATCCCTGTTTTGAATCATACTTCAAGGAGAGTTACATGTCTTTAGTACTTTCCCCAGGTTTATGTCACATCTGATAAATCTATAACGGGTTGGACAGAATGTAGTGTCATACACTCACTCAGTATCAGCACTGAACAGTGAACACACACTTTACACGGTAGGACAGATAGTTGTGCAATATGCATATACTGACATTTTCTTTTCCTTTTGTTAGTACTTGTAATGTTTGTCTTGAATCCGCCTCTGCTCTACTAACCTAACTTTTTTAAGTTTTCCATTTTGTATTATAGTTCATCTGTTTTGTGTGTTTTCCTCTTCAGAAATGTCTCTAGTCAAGCAGAATCTTCACCCGAATAATGAGGCAAACATCAACAAACTGATCAACCTCAAACTGACGGCCTCATACGTGTATCTCTCCCTGGTCTGCTCACAAACACTGGCACCACTTTTATGAAATGTTGTTTTTAGGTTTTATGTATTTCAATTTGTGTCATTTTGAAATGCACAGAAATACACTTTAACATAAAAATGTCATTTTCAGCAATTACTTCACGCTAAGTGTGCGTTGTGCACGGGTTCTAAAATATTTTTTAGAAAATATAAATTATTGCTAAGTGTTTAGAATTTAATATTCTATATGCAGTGATGAAATAATGTTGATTAGGCTATATATTAATAGTTGACCCCTGCATGTCTGTTTAGACAGTAGCACTAATACAGTCTCTCTTTGTCTCCTAGGGAATGTATTTTGATAGAGATGATGTGGCTCTGCCCAACTTCTCAAAGTTGTTCCTGGAGCGTTCACTGAAGGAGAGGGATCAGGCGGAGCACCTGCTGCAGTATCAAAACACAAGAGGAGGACGAATCGTTCTCCAGACCATTGCGGTGAGTGAGTTTTAAAGGATTAGTTCACTTAAAAATGGAGATTGTCATCATTTACTCACCCTCATGCCGTTCCATACCAGTAAGACTTTTGTGGAACGCAAAAGGAAATGTTCAGTAGAAAAGTCACGTTGCTCTTTTTCATACAGTAGCTAGGGATTGTGATGCTTTAAAAAAAAAAAAAAAGCAAAAAAAACCGCCCTGAAGTATTGTAAAAAATGACTGGGGCAATGAAGTCTGCTAAAGGTATATGTAGCTTCGAGATGTTTTTAAAAGTACACTGCTTACTGAAACCCTTTATTTCCACATTTTAGCATGCTGTTCTCATTACAGAAGTAATGTACTTTTAAAAGAATATACTTAATTGCTATAATATTGTTAACACGTCAAAATTGTTGTACTTGTTGACAAGATTATTTAATATAAAGAATTACATGTATTTTAAATGTTTGAAGAAACAAAGTGTACTCTAAGTTTACTTAAATGGTATTTTATTACATTATTGATTTATTTTTTGCAAGTACAGTAAAAAAAAAAAATTAAGTAGGCCTGTCGCGATAATTAAATAACTGTCTAATCGCGATTATTTGATCTAACCATTATTGTGCTTTTTATACGAGACAAGGGGGATCATACACCAAAAGAAACAGAAGAGTTTGCTTTTCATGCACTGTATAGCCTATACAGGGCTCCAGACTCATTCTTCCCACTGGTCGCTCTTTTGCAACTAACTTTTTCAGCTGGTTGCACGAGCACATGATTTGGTCACAATATTTTTTTATTTTTTTGTGTTTGCTCTACAACATGGGATTATTCAATGCATGCTGATGAACTTTTATCATAGTTTATAGTTATATGGAAACGAAAGTGGTTAACATTCAACCCGTTCTTTATCATCAGTAGTATTATTTGTGATTTAAATTTTGTGAATGGGAGTTTCTTTCTCTTTTGCTGTGTTAAGGGCTTTGGAATGCTCGAATTCGCAATCTTGTTGTCACTGTTTTGCTTGCATACATCTACACACCTTTCATTTTTTTAAGACTAAAACAAAAGATGGATTCATTGTTATTCTTAATTAAAAAGCACAACAACAATAAATCAGTAAGAACGAATAAGATGAGGCATGGCACACACCACATGCTGTATTATATACCGACTAATAAATTACAGAACGTTTAGCAAACACTGAGGAATCAAATAAATAAATAAAAGAGAGCCTCCATAGCATAATGTGAGGTAAACCGCAAAGATAAGTTTTTCAAAAAAGAAAACAAAAAGAAAAGTAAAGCTAACGGTGACAGTAGACTGCGATATATCGTAATGCGATATATCACGGTAATGAATATGCACGATATTGTTATCGTGGTCACTTATAAATACCGTGAATAATTATATATTAAAAATTATTCCGAATTTTGAATGCATTTTAAGAATACTTTTCCCATCAACTGGTCAAAATGCACAACACAGCTGTATGCTGTGTGAAAGACGCATGCGCACTCTGCACTCTGATGTAAACAAGCGCGGACGAGAAGCGCATGGCAGAACATGTGAGAGTCGCTCTGGATGAAAGCGCACTTTCACTCTGACAGCAGATAGCGCTAAACTGCAGAAATAATACTACTAATAATAATTTATTTAAATGCAGCCATTACCCCAGAAACCCTGTAAACAAAGCAGCTGCACTACTTTCTGTTTCTGAATCGTGTTTAAATGATATAAACAGCCATTCAGATTTGTGTATTTACTATGATGTTCATCACAGCGCCAAATACTTAAATATTTAGACTTAATAGGCTATTTATTTTCAAACTTTTTTTACATTTTAACCTGGACTACAACATGACCTAGATATTGTTTGAAAGTGCTTTGATTCTTTGTTCGGTCACACTTTACATTAGGGCTTCATTAGTTAACATTAGTTAATTCATTAGTTAACAAAAACTGCCAATGAAAAATTCTTCTAAACATTCATTAATCTTAGGTATTCCAATATTTAATAGCACGTTAAAATCGAAAGTTGCAACGGTGTTATTTAATGAGCTAACATGAACTAAGACTTGTATTTGTTAAACAAAGATTAATAACTTCTGTAGCAAATGTAGCTATTGCTCATTGTGAATGTTAATGCATTAACTAATGCCGAGTTCACACTGCACGATTTTCAAACTCGTCGGATCGCCGTTGTTTTCACACTGCGTGACTATCTGGGGTAGCATTCAGTTGCTGCTGTGTTCAAATTGCACGATGGATCGGCGACAGGGGGTTTCACACTGCATGACTTCACAATAGGAAGAATCGCCGACAGCTCTGTCTGGTCCGCAAACTACGTTTCACAACAAAACACATGCGAGAAGTGATAAGGAAATAACGCGAGAACCCGCGTGTGTCAGACCGGAGTTCTCGCGAGCAAGACTGTAATTATTTTAAATATATATATATACAGTGGGGAAAAAAAGTATTTAGTCAGCCACCAATTGTGCAAGTTCTCCCACTTAAAAAGATGAGAGAGGCCTGTAATTTTCATCATAGGTATACCTCAACTATGAGAGGCAAAATGAGAAAAAAAAATCCAGAAAATCACATTGTAGGATTTTTAAAGAATTTATTTGCAAATTATGGTGGAAAATAAGTATTTGGTCAATAACAAAATTTCATCTCAATACTTTGTTATATACCCTTTGTTGGCAATGACAGAGGTCAAACGTTTTCTGTAAGTCTTCACAAGGTTTTCACACACGGTTGCTGGTATTTTGGCCCATTCCTCCATCCAGATCTCCTCTAGAGCAGTAATGTTGTGGGGCTGTCACTGGGCAACACGGATTTTCAACTCCCGCCAAAGATTTTCTATGGGGTTGAGATCGGGAGACTGGCTAGGCCACTCCAGGACCTTGAAATGCTTCTTACGAAGCCACTCCTTCGTTGCCCGGGCGGTGTGTTTGGGATCATTGTCATGCTGAAAGACCCAGCCACGTTTCATCTTCAATGCCCTTGCTGATGGAAGGAGGTTTTCACTCAAAATCTCACGATACATGGCCCCATTCATTCTTTCGTTTACACAGATCAGTCGTCCTGGTCCCTTTGCAGAAAAACAGCCCCAAAGCATGATGTTTCCACCCCCATGCTTCACAGTAGGTATGGTGCATATGACATTCTCCCAATTCTCTTCTGGATCATCCAAATGCTCTCTAGCAAACTTCAGATGGGCCTGGACATGTACTGGCTTAAGCAGGGGGACATGTCTGGCACTGCAGGATTTGAGTCCCTGGCGGCGCAGTGTGTTACTGATGGTAGCCTTTGTTACTTTGGTCCTAGCTCTCTGCAGGTCATTCACTAGGTCCCTCCGTGTGGTTCTGGGATTTTTGCTCACATTTCTTGTGATCATTTTGACCCCACGGGGTGGGATCTTGCGTGGAGCCCCAGATCGAGGGAGATTATCAGTGGTCTTGTGTGTCTTCCATTTTCTAATAATTGCTCCCACCGTTGATTTCTTCACACCAAGCTGCTTACCTAGTCTTCCCAGCCTGGTGCAGGTCTACAATTTTGTTTCTGGTGTCCTTTGACAGCTCTTTGGTCTTGGCCATGGTGGAGTTTGGAGTGTGACTGTTTGAGGTTGTGGACAGGTGTCTTTTATACTGATAACGAGTTCAAACAGATGTCATTAATACAGGTAACCAGTGGAGGACAGAGGAGCCTCTTAAAGAAGAAGTTACAAGTCTGTGAGAGCCAGAAATCTTGCTTGTTTGTAGGTGACCAAATACTTATTTTACCGAGGAATTTACCATTTAATTCTTTAAAAATCCTACAATGTGATTTTCTGGATTTTTTTTTCTCATTTTGTCTCTCATAGTTGAGGTATACCTATGATGAAAATTACAGGCCTCTCTCATCTTTTTAAGTGGGAGAACTTGCACAATTGGTGGCTGACTAAATACTTTTTTGCCCCACTGTATATATAGCCCGCAAATTGTCTGTGAGCTGATTTCCGGCTACAAGGAGAAAGAGGAAAAACAGATTATGCAGGAGGGCGATGCAGGGAACAGGAATTGGGTGTTCTGCAAAGAGAGTTGGAGGTAAATAATTTTGCAGTAACTGTTATGCTGATGTTGTGGCTGGTCAAGCAAATGTTTGTGCTTATTTCTGTATGATATAATTGTTCATATATCTATTAAAATACTGATATTCTGGTCTATAACTCCTCCCCAAACTTCCCTCTGCCCTGTATCTTGGTCTCTCATTGGCTGTAGGTCATCGCCGATGTGTTTTTCAGTCAGAACTCATTGCACACAGCGTGATTGTGAATCGCCGACAGCTCCAGATATTTAGCATGCCAAATATTTCACGGGCGTCGGCGACGTGTCTGCGATTCCCTCAGATCGCGTCTTTGATAATTCACACTGCGTGATTGTCACTCGCGTGAACGAGCACCGATTTGCCTCCGATTTCGGGCATTTGTCGGCGATTTCGCAAAACCTGTCGGCGAGTGAAAAATGGGGCTAATATCGTGCAGTGTGAACTCGGCATAAGGTTAACTAATGAGGTCTTATTGTAAAGTGATACCTATTGGTCTTTATAGTTCTTTTGCACTTTAATCTGTGTAAAACTTTTAACTTTATACATTTTTCTGTATTGCTTTATTGCATTTAAATGTTCAGTTATTTTTGTTATTAGAAAAGTTATTAAACCTGTTATACTGTATTATGAGAGCACTTTTTTTTAAACAAAATTTTAATACCGTATACCGTGAGAAAAGCATTAGCAATTAATCGCAACATGCAAATGTGATACCGGCATATCCCTAGGTGACAGTGCTTGCATGTTTTTTTCCCCCACAAGAATACCAGCACGTTCACCTTCTCTGGTTTAAGAAGCAGTCTTTTACTTGACTTTCGCTTGAAAACCATCCATCGTTTCCTCAATATGCGCATCATTTTTGCTGCGCGCACCTTCGCGCCCGTGCTGACGCGGCGAGTAGGTATACTCTCTAAGCATTGTTTCGTTATGCTTCCAGTTTCGTTTGCCGTTTGATGTTTCTCATATACAACAGAAATTGCAGCGCTTATGAGTTCACCAATGCGGTGGTCGTGCCAGTGCGACCGCACACAAAATGTAGTCGCACAGGCAGAAAAAATGGTCACAGTCTGAAGCCCAGCTATATCATCTGAAGCCATTCCATATCTTAATGTGAGGGACAGAATTGAGGTTTACAGAAACTCATCTTCCCTCTGCTGCAGCTGTCAGTCATTCTCCGCTCATTCAAACAGCACGTCACGTTCAGTTATGACAGCCAGCATAAAACGCTCTCTCCAAGATGATATATTCCCATTATAGTACTTTAAGTTTAAGGAAGGAAGGAATTATCACAAACAGAAAGATTATTCGAAGCCTTTCTTTTTCTCATGATTTCTCTCTTATATTCATGAATGTATTTTGTAACAGAATAAACATGTTTAAATTGTATAATGTGCACCAAAGATTTTTTTCCAAGATATTGTTTTTGCTGCTAAATCATACAGTCAGCTAGTTTAATTTCATAGCTTATACATTTTTATCCAAATTGAGTTTTTCTCTGTAATGATGAAGTGAGTATTTAGTGGTTTGCGTTTAACAAAGGGTTTAAAAAAAAGAGTGACCATTAGTTCCACAAGCACAGTATTGATATTCTGTAGTGGTGTAGAAAATAAATAAATAAATAAATAGCGCTGGTGTTGGATCGGTATTGGCCGATTCTTAGAATTTGGAATACTCTATGTAATCTTACACTGCAAAATAATAACTCAAAAAGATTAAAAGATAACATCATAATTATTTCCTGAAGCCTTAAATTAATAAATTATATAATGAAAGCCATAAAACAGACAGTTAATCGCAATAACCGTGACCATTTTTAGATGATTAATCGTCAGCCAAATTTAATAATCGTGACGGCCCTATTTTAAATTGCATTTTCAGTACAGTTAAGCACACTTATTTTTCACAAGGATGGTGTCATTGCCATCAAATTTAGAAGCTTATAAAAATCTATTTTTATCTCTCTCTATCACTTATCAGAAGCCCAGTCGTGATGATTGGAAAGGAGGTATGGATGCGGTCACTTTTTCTCTGGACCATCAAAAGTCTCTTAACCGATCCCTGCTGGAGGTCCATAAAGCAGCTGGAGAAAACGCGGACCCTCATGTGAGTAGCATAAGGGAAACAACAACTGACAACCCTTGTATCTTCTTTCTCATTTGTTTTATGTGTTATCAAGTATAATTGCATATTATTTTTCAATAACAGTGTAAATTGCTTTCCCTATCACTCTGTTCCAGCTGTGTGATTTCCTAGAGAGCAACTTCTTTACTGACAGTCATGACACCATTAAGACGCTGGGAGACTACGCTGGCAGCCTGAGTGGCCTCATCTCTTCTGACCCGCATGGCAAAATGGGAGAGTACCTGTTTGATAAGCACACTCTCTGATCTGAGTTTTGTTGCCAACATTCCGTTAAACAATATGTGCATTGGTGAAGGAGTTTAAGGATTTTTGCACAACCATTTCATTTCTTTGTTTTCACCTTTCAATAGAGACATTTTGGTAAGAACCACCACAATTTGAAGTGTTTTAATCCATACAAAAGCGGGACTATACTGTGAAATGTGCAAATCCAAACATGGTACCCTTGTGTTGAAGCCTCAACTACCCCATGTCTGTTTACAGAATTGTATAGGTGCTAGGGTAAAGCTATATCTTTTCAAAGACCAGCCTATAGGCTCCTGTAGGTTCTTCAGGAGAGTTGTAGTACAGTGCACTAGTGAAAAGGAGTGTTTATATGAATGTATTGTACTCCAAAACTTCCGTTGCTGTGAATTGTTATACCTCAAACTGGGAATTGTTATAACTCAAACATGGTGCTTAATGTCAATATAGCAATACAAATAAATCAAGCATTCCAAAAAGAAGTCTTGTACCTTTAATGTAGCCTCTTTACAGTATTATTTTTTTATAAAGCATGCAGTTCACTTGTCAAGTAACATTTCTATAATCAAATTGAGCAAATCATTGACGGATCAGAGTAACATGACACATTGGAACTTGCTTTCCTGCTCATAAACCTGTTGCGAAATGCTGTCCCTTGTCAAAATGGGGAGTGTTTGTGAAGGGATTTAGTCATTTAAATCCAGAGGCAAATTATTTATATTTTCTCATATGGTTGTGAACAGTTTCTTTGACGTATTAATTCAGTTAAGCTGGTATTGGTTTTATGAAAACGTGATTTACAGTAATTATTATTATTTTTACTTAGAATACATTACACTCAATTATCTGACCAGATAAACCTGCTCTTTAAAGTGCTGACTGCAAGTGAAAAAAGCTCTTCTTGACATTCTTGACACTGCACACGTCCTCCTTACACATGGACACGGCTGAACACACCAATTGTTTTAACTGACGCTAAAGGCAGTTATGAATTAGGCAGCTGTAACGTGTCAGCCACAGAGATAAGGACTTTGACACTGCTGACTCATTATGTGTGTTGTTTGGATATGAAAAAGTATCCAGTGTTGTTCTTGTGCTTGAATGTTTTCTGTGTGGTTTGTTTTCAAAACCGCTGAACTGCACTGAATGCCTTGCAAACAATTTATTTCTATGACTAATAGATACATAGCTCTAACTGAAAAAAAGTGAATTTGTAAAATATCTGTCTTATATAAAATTCATGGTACTGTTTAACCAGATAAAAGAAGAAAGGGATTTGAAATGCAATTGTTTTGTCATAGCACAGTAGATATAAAGCAAAGTGGAAAATACAACTTATTTAGGATCTTTACCTAGTAAATCCTGACATGAAATAATGGTACTAAAATGTTTTTTTTTTGTTTTTTTGAGAACAAAACCAACAACTGCATGTTTTTTTTTTGTGAAGTATTTTTACTTGCATTTGTAATGCACCAGGCTTTTATAGTCCATATAGTAAGATACAGTGAGAATATGGAGCTATATGTCCAAATGACATCCAATTCAAAATTAAGTGGCATTGTATTGCTTACAGTATAGCAGAATGGAAAAATAACAACAATAATAATTCAATATTTGTACCAGCCACATGTTCAACTCTAGTGACTTTTATTCTGCACCACCAAAACGTCACCAAATGTTTAGTTTTGTATTTTTTATGATGTTGTACTGATTGTGGTTAAGATGCTCAAAATATCTATATGTGACCCTGGAGCACAAAACCAGTCTTAAGTCGCTTGGGTATATTTTTAGCAATAGTCAAAAAAACATTGTATGGGTCAAAATTATAAATTTTTCTCAATCATGCTCCATGAAGATATTTTGTAAATTTCCTACCGTAAATATATCAAAACTGAATTTTTGATTAGTAATATGCATTGCTAAGAACTTAATTTGCTCAACTTTAAAGGCGATTTTCTCAGTATTTTGATTTTTTTGCACCCTCGACATTTAAAATATGCACAAATTTAAAATATGCATTTCAAATCTTAAAAGTATATATATAAAAAACTGTACTTGCAATTAATATAATATTAATGAAATGAAAGGCCACTTACAAAGTCTTTACATACTTTTCTGTCTTTACATTTTTTTTAAAAAGTGCCCTTTGTATCGTTGAATTAAAAGTTTTTCTTTAAAGTACATTTAAACATTTTTTTATAAGAATATTTTGTAATAATTTTGACGTGACTAACATTTGACTAACACATAAAGCTAAATGTAGTGATTTATGATAACTGTAATGTGTTATTCAATATTGCGTTTAAAGTTAATATATTTTAAATGAACTAAATTAGAAATGATTAGAAAAAATATTTAAATACATGACATAAGTTTCAATAGAAATGACATTTAAGTATACCATAATTTACCATAAATGCTTGTCAGTACATTTAAAAGACAACATAATTATGAAATTATATAAAAAAGCTATTTAAACTATAAATAATTTCATTTAATTGCAAGTAACATGCAATTAAGTGTCCAAAAACCTTACATTCTTTTGCATGTATATTTTTAAAGTATATTATTTTTTTTTTTTTGTGCCCTTTTTTTTATTTTTTTTTTTTTTTTTTCCCCCCCCCCCCCCCCCCCAAGGGTATGGTCAACATAATTTCTCTTTGTAAGTGGCATTTTTATTCACTTGATCTACATCCAGCAACAGCTTGTCAAATGTTGCAACAATTTTCCAAGTTATTCCATGCTGAAAGCTGGTGCAAATCAGTCAATCCAAACATATTTGATTTTTAATATACAGCTAATGTATGTTAAATGGAAGTTTGGGCCACTGAAACTTCCTTGTGGGTCGGGCTATACAGAGTGATGTTAATGGACATGTAAGACACATAAGAATAATTTCACTTCTTTAACTACATATATTAAAGGGATACCTAGAAGGTGGTACTCTACATAGACCTGATACACTGATTGGTCAATTGCAACACTGGAAGAAGGCTTAAAAGAGAGTGACAGGATTTCCACTGTCTCCCTGTGAGACAAAAAGACAAATGATAGATTTTATAACCTAAAACTGACTCTTCACATTTAAGACCAGAAACATACCTTATGCAAGTACACAAGCACTAATATTCCGGCTACACCAGCTGGATTTCACAAAATGTGTTAAATAGCAATTAGTAATGCAATGTAAATATGTGCTGCATTCTTTGAGTTTCCACAAGGGGCACTATAGTCAATTTATAGTGGACATTATTATAAAATGCAAGTCTGTTTGTTTACTGCTAATATCTGGCTTAATGACACAGACAATTAAAGGTTAACTCTGAGTAGTGAGATTTGTTAGAACAGCAAGACCATGTGCTTGCACATTTATTTGCAGAACTTCTTTCACCACACACAACATTTCAAAACATGTCAATGTTATGTCTTTAATGCCTTAGTGCTTTACCAAAGTGCAATATGATGATGAGAAAAGTGATCCTCCAGATTTAAATCTAGCTACAATGTATTTATAGTGTTGTCTAGCACATATATCAGCGTCATGGTGACTCGGGCGCATACCTGAGTGTTCAAGGCAATTAAGAGATTTAAATATTGATCAATTCTGTTCTAAGTGCGAGTAAGTGACTCTCAAAGTATTAAGGAAAATATGGTTGGATGTCGCAGGTGAAAAGTCTGATGCTCAACAATACAGTAAAAACAAAAATGTTGTAAAATATTATCATTTAAAACAACTGGTTACACTTTAAGGTGTCCTCGTCACAGTGTAATTATACATTTAAGTACTGAGTAATATTAATGAACTACATGTACTTACTATGTGGTTAGGGTTAGGATTTGGTTTAGGGTGGATGTAATTATGCATAATTTATTGTTATTACAATAGTAAGTACATGTAACGTGTAACAAGGACACCTTAAAATAAAGTGTTACGAAAACATTGCGTTACAAATCAGACAATATTGTGTCTAATATATACCACAATATTAACTTCTTATTATTTAATTATTGTAAATAAATATCACGTTTGCAACTGGTCAGTGTTCAAAAAATGCTGGGAAATCTCTTCAAGTAGCCCCACAAGAGTGATTACTGATAAACTGTCTGAAAAAAAGAAAGTCACGTTTTAGAGAAGAAAAAAATCACCTACTGACTTTCAAAGCTGCTATATAATAACGACTTTCTACTTCGAGGACCTTGATAGAAATGTAGTGGAGTGAAAAGTACAATATTTGTCTTTCAAATGTAGTGAAGTTAAAGTCATAAGTTCCCAGAAAAAATAATACTCAAGTAAAGTACAGATACTCAAGAAAAATGTACTTAAGTACAATACTCAAGTACATGTACTTAGTTACTGTCTGCCTCTGGGCGAGACAGAGTCAAGATCAAGACCAAACCAAATTCATCTGAAATATTCACATTTACTGCCTGAGAAATGTCCTATATTTAATCCTTAAATGCAATTATGGTAGAATAAGATTACAATATAGAGCTGTTACCAATCAAATTAAATCACTAATAAACAAAATGTGTCTTGGCACTGCAGAGGTGGCATTATTGTTGCATCTGAATTGATATAACTGCATAAATATTGTTGATATTAATGATTTAAAAATAAAATTTTGAATATAGAAATATGATGGAAAAATAAAACGAAACTTTTAAATGTGAAACTAAAACCACAAGTAGGTAGGTGGCAGCAAATCGGTTAGTGAGTCAAGGAATAATCTATTCAACCGATTCGTTCAAAGCAGCTGATACATTCAGTAATGAAATTCTGCTGTGTTGCTTAGAAATTCTGCTATGGATTTCTTTGGAACTATATTTGTTGCCAAAATAGCAAAAACTTGTGTCCAAGATGTAATTCACTAACATTTGTATAAAATCAATATCACATTTGCAATCATGCTCATATCTGTGAAAACAGCTCTCTTGCTCTTGTGATATTCCCCATCTCCTATTAAAGGAACACTCCACTATTTTTGAAAATAGGCTCATTTTCCAACTCCCCTAGAGTTAAACAGTTGAGTTTTACCGTTTTCGAATCCATTCAGCCGATCTCCGGGTCTGGCGGTAGCACTTTTAGCTTAGCATAACATCATTGTATGTTCATTGAATCTGATTAGACCATTAGCATCTCGCTCAAAAATGACCAAAGATTTTCTATATTTTTCCTATTTAAAACTTGACTCTTCTGTAGTTACATTGTGTAATAATACCCACATTCAGGTATTCTAATAAATCTGCGGTTACAGCTAATGAATAGTTCGCTGAATCTTCAAAGGCAGGATTCACACAGCATTAAATTATGGGTGTAGAATGAGGTGATAGGTCATAAAGGCGACATGTTAAGTATACATGAGGAAGTAGTCCTGGCCAGCGGGTACTGAGGCCCACACAGCGCTCCAGTACCACCTCAAGCTCATTGGGTATCCCTACGCCATAATCATATATTTCCTGCAA